TCTACAAAAATTTTTTAGTACATCTGCAGGCGAAAATTCAATTTTTGATTTAGGATGGGTGTGTGGTCACGTCGGAATCACGTCGTAAATCTGAGCATTATCTGTTGAATCTGTAGTTTCAGAGAGGAAGGCATCCTAGTTTACTCGGATAATGGGAGTGCTTTGAAATCGGGCTGTCTGTGAAATTGCCGATATGCGTCTTGTTGCACATGAATACGGATTATAGGATGATTAATATTGGCCATGTGATAGAAAAAAAGTTGGGACGAGTGAGAGGGCTAGTGATAGTGCTGTTTTTGCACAAACTGATGAGAGAGGGAATAGTGCGTGCAAACTGCAGAGTTGATGGATCCGAAAATGGATATCGGAATGAAGCCTTTCGATCCATCGATTACGTTTGAAAATTTGGTTTCGACCGGTCGTTTAAATATCAACAATATGGATCATCGCGAAATGATCGCCACAATGGATGCTATATTGGCTTCGCTGATGTCTTGGCTTGAGGGTAATTCAATCGCACAAACGGTAGGCTTTGAACCAGGTGGCCTCCACTGTTTAATTAGGTTTTGAACCTCCGCCGAAAAGTGGCCCCATCACACTTTTGGAGCATAGTCTTTTTTTCTTATGTCTTTTTAGCGGTTTTCGCAGTAAATTAATTTCCCTTAATCGATTTATACTCATTTTTCTAGCACACTAGCACTTTTGCGCTAAATTTTTTGCCTGTTTTAGAATAGGTGAAGTACTGGCTAAAGCATAGATTGTTGCAGCTTCTCACGTGTGTCTTTCTGAGTCGTGCAAATTTGGTGACCGATCCTTTGTTATCTTCATTTTCATATGGTATTTTGGAACTTACAACGCTTTTTCGCCATGTAATACAACTAGCCTCTGTTTACGAAGAGGTGGTCGTTTTTCCTGTATTTACACCCTGAATTTGTTTGTAAACAGTTGGTTTTCAAGCTTTTCATTATTATTTAGCCGGAGGAGCTTTTTTAAGTTAGCTTCTCATCAGCTATCCATAAAGTCACTTGAATTTTCGCTTTAATTTGTTACATTTTCCTGTAATTGCAACTATGCTGCAATTTCATAGCCATAAGCATGAATTCTTCCATCTTTGTCGTGAGAGCTGTTGTATCGGGCATGCTGGTTGGCTTCAGCTGACATCCCGAGCACAGTCTCAGGAGACTGAACCACTGACAAATCTCCGAATAGTTGTTTTTGGTGAAATGGGTTCTTTTGGGATGCGGATAATCTCTGCTTCTGTAACTCCTTAAGATGGGAAATTTGTTTTTGTATATGCTAACAATATATGAAAGATCTAAAAATTTAGTCGAAAGCGTACCGGCTGCCAGTACGAGCAGGCGTTTTTTTCACAGTTCCCCCGCAGGTTTTTTTCGCCACTGACACGTTCTTTCCGGCAGATACTTCTAGCTAAAAGAATTGGGACTGGCCGTCACGGCTGTTAGAAATTACTACAATGACTCCCAATCCATGCCCGAAAAATTCAGCACTGTGGATGCTTCGGTTGCGAAGTCACGCCGAATTTCACGTGTTCGTGCGTGATTGGCAACGTGAATACTTTCTTCGATTGCGGTTACTCAAACACGACCCTGGGTAACGCGCAGAAAGTTTCAGCACTTAATCTGCTCTGGTTGCGGAGTTACGTCAAATTTCACGTGTGCACAAGTAAAACGCATGTGAAACATGAGAGTGATGTGTAAGTCATTTTTGCGTGCATCTGGTCAAAAGCCATAGTCGGTTATGCTCAGAAAGTTCAGGTCATCTGGCTGGTTCAATTCTGAAGTTACAAAAGCGTATTCGTGGAATTTTCACGTGTTCGTACTTGAGATCCAGAAGAGTTGACAAGTAATTTACTTTCACGGGCACAAAAGTGGGCG